GTCATCTCCCGCACCCGCTGATGTCGAGGACCATCTGCCTGTCATCGACTACTCCATCCCTCTCCCCGCTCTCGAGCCGTCAATCTCCTACTCATTTGCTCCCGGCGCGGACGAGCTCATGACGTTTGAGGAATCTTCTGAGCCCCCAGCACCCTTTGGTCCTGACCCACCATACCCGCTGCCTCCGATGAACCTGCTCCCTATTGAGTTCTCCCGTCGTAAGCTGTCGAAACGCAAACGAGACAAGGGAGAAGTCAAAGAGTGGCAGCCGATGCCTCTAAACAAGTGGGCCGCCGTCCTGAAGGCAAATCCGGTGCACACGAGATTAGCTAAGGCGTCTAAAGCATTGAGTACCCGGGACTGGTCGGTAAGTTTGTATGCTTAAGGTCATTAGTCGGTGTTCTCAACTCGTCTGGCGAAATATAGGTGGGTATAACAGAGCTGCGCCTCATTCGCGTGTTTGAGCGCATCGAGAAGCTCAAAGAAGGCGAGGCGTGGAGTTTCCGACAGCCCAGGAAGCAACGCGGTCTTGGCGGTCTGAACAAGACTCACTGGGACTATCTCCTGGACGAGATGGTGAGTTGGAGGGCATTCGTCCATGGCCACACCTGACGAACAGTTGCAGAAATGGATGCGGACAGACTTCCGAGAAGAGCGCAGGTGGAAGCTCGCGCTGGCTTACACTCTCGCTCATGCTGTTGTGGAGTGGCACGACGCGGGTTCGTTCGAGGAGCGCGTACGTCGAAGGATAGTCGTTCTGTGGAAACGACCGCCGACAGAAGACGCCGAGATGGCGGACGCGAGTGAAGGTGACCAAGGTGACGGACCCTTCACCCAAGACGCGGACGAGAATGGCGCCCAGTCGTCCAGAGAGACGGGCACTCCCCTGGACGGCTATGCGTCTGATGACGAGAGCGAGGACGAGCAGGACAAAGATGCGGTCGACTCCCTTGAGCCCGCTTCGGCGCTAGAGGACGCTCTACAGCAACTCGAGGAACAAGAGAACGGGTCGAACTCGCAGTCGGACGGGGTCACTCTGAAGCCAAAACTCGAAGAGATCGAGGACCTGACTGCGCTCAAGGGAAGAAGTGGTGTTGGCGACCAGGGCGAGAACGCTATGGATGTCGATGGGAAGAAGCCGTCTCAGCCGGAGGCGGCAAAGCCCGCGACGTCGACACAAGGCGCTCCTGAGTCTCATATCGGGCTGAAGTCGTCTTCCAAGAACCCTGTCTTGGGTACCTCAGGTAGAGACGGCGAAGGAGGGCACGGGAAAACGAAGCACAAGATCAACCAGTTCGCTGCTGTCCGGGAGCACATCGTCTACTCTGACGTTGACAAACTCTTCGTTGACCTTGACGACCTCGACCTTGTGAAGAGTATGTCGGAGCTATCCACCGACGACCCTCTGGCTGTTGTCGCCGCAACGCCATCACACGCGCCTCACGACCTTGCTGCTATCTTCCCCGACCTTCAGCCGTATAGTATGCTGGACGTGGCACCGCACACCGAAATCCGGAAGAAGTCGGAGAGGAAGAGTGACAAGGACGACCCGAACAAACGGGCTGAGGATGCAACGTACACCAAGATCGTACCTGTGAACAAGTTCATGTTCGTGAAGCCTGCACTTATCGGTACCGTGAAGCCCGCTGTTCACTTCAAAGACGGCCAATGGACACCCATCGAGCCGACGCCGGTCTTCGCCGATGTGGAGGTGCCTCCAGCTCGTCCTATCGACGAGAATCTCTGCTGTGAGCCGTTCTCTATGTGGATTTCCAATTAACGTCGCTGAGCAGCCATCATAGCTCTCTTCGAAGGTACAGGGAACAAGCCGAACATACCCACTGGCCATCCTATGCTCGCCCCTGCGCCTCCCAGAGACGTCCGCAAACGCAACGCCGATCATCACCACGAGGCCATTGCGTGGACCCCAGCTGAAGATGCTCTCCTCAAGCAAGCGGTGGAGAAGTATCCGTATAACTGGAATCTTATCGCGGACATGTTCAATTCGTCACGCGTCACCATCTCGACCGACAAGCGCACCCCTTGGGAGTGCCTGGAGCGCTGGAAGGAAAAGTTCAGTGCGCAGGCTCGGGCGGAAGCCGCAGAGGAGAATGGTCCTGCTGCTGCCTCATCATCCTCCGCGTCCCATATGACGACCAGGAAGCGGACTGCAAGTCAAGCGATGACCGCCTCTGGGAGCGGTTCCGCGAACTCTGCGATGCCGAATGAGCCTAGGAAGCGTCGTAGACATGCGGTGATGCACGATACACTGCGTAAGGCGGCAAAGCGGAGAGAAGCCGTGCAGAAGTCCAATGGTGCGTCCCCCATGATGCCGTTATGAGAGCATGACGACTCAGTGCTGTGCAGCTGCTCCGCGGCAGAAAACTTCCGTCGTTCACGACACCCATGGTCAATTCATGAAACTCCCAAAATATACGCCAGCCGAGCTGAGTAGGATGAAGGCAGACAAGGAGGCGAGAGATGCCCACGAGTTGTTGATGCGTAGCAGGAAGAATGACGAACTGTCTCGACAGCACGCTATTCGAGAGCAACAGCAACGCGTTGGTCCAAATGCCGTACGTGTTACACATGGTGTCGTGTCGTGTGCACGTTCTCATGGTTATCTCTCCGCCAGCCCCCGCAGCCCCCACAGATGCTGCCGGCAGGATCGACTCCGAACGGCGTACCTAGAACTGCGAACGGGGTCCCACAGGCACAGATCGCTCAGCAAATGCGTGCACAACCCCAGGTTGGCATATCGCAGTCACAACAGAGGATGGCCGCGCACCTTGCCAGTGCTCGGATGTCTCCGCCACACATCTCAGCAACGCAAGCGGCAAATCTTCGTGCGTTACAGGCGCAAATGCAAGCCCAAGCCCAGGCTCAGGCTCAGGCCCAACCCCAAGCACAGGCTGGTCAAGGACACGCGCAGGTTACCCCCGTCTCGAACGCCTCCGCCGCACTGACTGCGGCCGCTCCGGCGCTCAGCGCAGCCCATCTCTCGCCTTCCTTCGCTGCTCGAGCGACCAGCTCGTCTCCCGGCCTTCCGCAGCAGTCGCCTCCATTGCCCGCTGCCAGCCCCGCCAACGTCAACGCTGTTCAACGGCCTCCTTCAGTACCCGGTCAGCCTGTTCAGGGTGTTCCGGTGAACCCTCTGTTGCACATGCCGAACATGGCGAACGTGGCCGCGGCACAATATTACATGCAGATGCAGAATCTACAACACAGCCTGCAAGGACGGGTAACACCGGAGCAGATACAAGCCCTTCTGGCGCAGGTAGGTTGCTGGCGGACCATCGGTGTTGATTAGTATTGAGACGCTCTCAGCAGATGCGTCAACAGCAGCAGCAACAACAGCAGCAACAGCAGCAGCAGCAACAGCAACAGCAACAGCAACAGCAACAACAGCAACAACAGCAACAACCTCAGCAATACGCTGCAGCTCATGCCTCGAACCCTCAGAATCCGAACTTCCCGCATCAGTAGTGTAGGGATATCCTCGCATTGCCGGCACTGTACATACCCTGCATCGACTCCATGCTTTCTTGCTCTCCTCATGCTGTATTACCACACCTCACATTTAGATCTTCACGAGTAATGGTATAAGCTAGATGCCCGGACGCGACTGTGGATGGCTTACCAGCCGAAGGAGTTAGTTCGGCGGGAACCACATTCATTGAGCGTCAACCGGCCATGTGAACTACGTCACCTGCCTAAAGTGAATGGTGTTCCAAGCTTCCCGCCGCAGGCCGAACGTCCGCGTTACTACTCGTCACTTAGTACCACGACGTTGCCAGGGAGCGCACAGCGGTCTGAAAGCTCACGTCGACAACATGACTACCGATCCCATGCTTGAGTTGAAGAATGCAGCATGGTACAAGGAGAAAGGACAGCCTGTCTTCACTGACGTCAACCTCGTATTGAACGAAGGCGATGTTCTCGTTCTTCAAGGAAAGAGCGGCTCCGGGTAGGTTTCCTCCAGTTCCCGTGACATTTGAGCTGATGGATGCTCTCAGCAAGTCAACGCTACTCAAATGTATATCCCACCTCAACATCTACGAGGGGGAGGTTCTGTATAGAGGCCAGTGAGTACCGTTCGGGGCGCGTCAACCGCGAGCTATTCTGACAACGCTGCCATGCAGGAAACCACAGCATTATGGTCAGATCAACCGCCCCTAGCGTCCGAGGTGTATCGCATGCTCACATGATGGCTATCCCAGGAATTCCCGCCTTCCGCACTCGGGTTATGTACGTGCCGCAGCGGCCGTCTATGCTACCTGGGACGCCACGAGACTTCCTCACCACTGTCTATACCTTCGGCGTGCACAAGTCGAGCTCGGCTTCCTCTAAGGCAGCATCGGCAGTTTCAGACGCTCTCAGGTCCTCGGAACCAGACGTGTCCCAGCACGAAGCGTTCGCTATCGCCGAGTCTTGGGGGATACAGCGGGAACTCTGGGATCGGTCGTGGGCCAACTTGAGCGGCGGAGAGGCGCAACGCATCGTGCTTGCAATCGCGGTTGGGTTAGCGTCAGCGGAGATCTTGCTTCTAGACGGCGCGTACCAGCTGCACTCACGGACGTTCGAGATGGTCAAGCTGACGCCCCCTCTTGCAGAACCCACGTCGGCATTGGACTCGGAGTCCTCGAGCAAGGTTGAGAAGCACCTTACTGCAGAAGTCAAGTCGCCAAGTTCGAAGCTGAAGTCCATCGTGTGGATCACACACTCGCCCGAGCAGGGGCAGCGTGTAGGAACACGCTTCATCCGTATCACTTCGGGCGGGGTGCGCGAGGAGGGGACTGATCCCGGAGTATAGCTCAGTTTGGAAGTACATACTCGTATTTCATTTGTCAGGATGCATGCAACAAGCGAGCTGCGATGTGCCATGAGTAAATCGTACGTACGTATACAGCGAGCTCTCAAGATGAATGTCAACTTCATCCTTCTGTCTGTCGACTTCGTGCTCCGCTAGTTATACACGCCACAGTGGTTCCATGTATTGCGGTCCCTTAGCTCAACTGGTTAGAGCTTTGTACTTATAGGGTTATCTCTGCCTTGAACTCTTGAAGGCATGCAAGGGTTCCGAGTTCGATCCTCGGAGGGACCAATTTTATTCATCACTGTTCCCCCTCGTATCGTACGGAGAGTAGGTACGAGGAGAAAAAGGAGGAGGAGGGAGGAGAGGGGGAGGAGGTCTGGGGTGATTGATAGAGTCCTCCGTGGGAACTTTCACTAGCTTAAGCGCCCTAGAGTTCAACCAGCGCGCGACATGTCAATATTCAATTGTGTACTCTTCGAAACATAACTTCGAGGCGGGAAGAAAATGCAGAAACCTCAGAAGAGTTTTAACGAACCATCTGCTGCCAAAGACACTCTGAGTCGTCATATGCACTGTGGGACAGGGCAGGAAGCTCAAGATAAAAAAATAATTATCGGAACTTTCCGAAGGTCATCTGGATTAATCCAGATGACTTAAATATTTCAGACGCCCTGGATTTAAAGCGGATGCCACCGGGATGGTGCCAGATACCTTTCAGATGATGTGGATAAGTCAATAGATGGTCCCCGATGATCAATTAGATGGTAAGTAGATGTTAAGTCATCCGGATGGTCGTGGGAAAGTTCCGACTATTAATTGGCAGCGACGAGATGGTTCTTGTCCCCAATCATTACCTGAGCATGTCGCGCACCATAAGAGGTCTTGCAAGACCGATCTACCGGAGAATAACTCTGCTCCCGCAAACAGCGCGGCCGGCTAGGGCCCGCTCCGGAGAATAACACTCATACCAAGTCCACGGTAGGTACCCAATACTTATGTACGAGGAGGTCGAAGCTCAAGCATCAAGAGCGCTTAGACCCAGTGAAATTCCCACGAGGGGAGGCAGGAGGAGGATATCCAAATGCCCAACGTTCGACGTTCGGGTAGATTGCATTCCATGTGGTTAACTGTCGTGTCGGTCGTCAAACACTTTGGTCTTCGCCAGCGCACTCGCACACGACGGCTGGCAGAAGACATAAGACAGATGCAGTGGCATGCTAGACTAAGAGTATGAAGACATTAGGACATGAGCGTACGTACACAACACGGCAGGATATAGATGCAACGTGATGGATGGGGTCACGGGTGATAAATGCAACGCGAAACATTAGTGGCGATAAGTTATGTCGACCGAGCGACCGAAAAGTGTTCGGAATCCGTTGAACGTCGTCGAGAAACGTGTCGTCGACCCCTGCCATCGTGTCAATGGCCACACCACCGCATATCCCAATAATAACACTGCCCGCACAGCGGCGCCCGATGTTGACCTCCAACGCCGGAGATATGCAGAAAGCTGGTTGCTCCCGTCCATGGCTTCCTCCAAGTACGCCGCTCCGACAGCCCAAAGCGGCGTCAAGCAGGCAGCACGGCGATAAGGCCTGGGCCCACACCACAGCTATAGCAGCTTCGAGCCCCAAGAGGGGTTGGCACTCCGATTGCGCGACAAGTTGGACGCCAGTCGCCCATCCTCCAGCCCGGGGGCCGGCACAGGCGTAGGCAGCGGCGACGGCTGTGCAGCGAGGCCGACCATAGGGGAGTACGAGCGCATCCCGGGCGTCGGCGCGGGTGAAAACGAGGAGACGTGCAGGAGCATGACGAACTCCTGCGTCGCGTTCGTGAGCTTGACCATCTTCGTCCTGAGCGTCGATGAGAGCGGATTTGGGTTAGCCTGCGGGGCCTGGCCGGCGGCGATCGATGCCGCAGCGGTCAAGCCGGTGCCGCCGCTCGTTGCCCCTCGTGTCTTGAGCGCGTTCGACAGTTGGATGACAGTCTGGCAGGGCAAGATGGTGTTAGCGTACGGTATCACTGAGAGAAGAAAGGTCTGACGCATCATATACATGCGCGAGGATGGATACAGACGATGACCGCCATCCGGGAAAAACAGCCCCGGTTTGCAGACACGCCCAGAGCAGACAGGTGTAGGACACGAGGCAGCGCATAGTGGAACGCGCAGACTCACCTTGACGAATATATGCGCATCGTCGCGGAGCGCTTTCGCATCCACGGCTTGAGAGTGTGCCCCCTCTTGCACGGCCGCGATGCTCTCCCTCAGTCGTTCCGTCACGTCCTTCGCCCGCCCAAGCATCTCTCGGAAGTCGTCCTTCTCGTCCGCACCCTCCGTGTCCAGCATCTCGTCCATCAGCTCCCAGATCTCAGGCGCGCCCTCTACCGCAGATCGCATCGCACCGATCACCTCCTTATCCAGAAGAGTCGTCGTCCCGGAAGCTGACAACCCGCTAAGCGACGGAGAGGAGGTCGACGCTCCGAGCAACGAGTTCTGCGACCCTTGCCGTGAGTGACTTCTTGAATGGCTTCCTATCTGCAGCTCGTGTGCCTGTTGCCCGAGTGGAAGTACAAGCCGCCGCAATGTTCGCATCGCCGGAGTCGGTGTCGAGTGCGCCGCCCCGTTCAAATTGAAGCTATGCGGAAGTGAAGGGGGCGGGTCGACGTGTGACGGCAGCCTCTTCCCGATCTCGACGTCCTTCGAGCTGAACGAGCCAGCATGTCGCCGGCTCACATGGCTCTTCCCCAGATCCAGCGAGCGCTGTGCTGTGTTCGTTCGTAGATGCGACCGCTGCGGCGTCTCTGGCTGCTGCGCAGGAAGGAACGGCGAAGAGGTCATGGGAGGTGCGGACGCCGGCGGTCGTGGCTTGTCCACCCCCATCGTACTCGTCGAGCGTAGTGTTGGTGTCTTCGAGCCGTACGATTTCGATACCGGCGGGGGCCTTGTCTCCCATAGGTAAGGTCGTACAGCATCGATGTGCGTCGCCATGGACTGCCAAGAGGCCGCAATCTCCGACATGGCACCATACAAGACCAGCAGCATTTGTCGCGTATAGCGCACGTCGTCATGCTTTGCCAGAACCTTGAGCTGTAGCGACAGCATCCCCACCGCCTTCCCAAAAACCGTCACATTGTCCCGACAGTTCTCCACCACCGCACGGCATATTGACGGACTAGGCAATGCTCGCCTGCTCACAGCGTCGAACCGGTCCAGCGCCTGAATGAGCTGCGACATATACATGCTGGCAGGCCCAAGGACCTTCTGCAGCACCGCCGACAAGCGCTCGTCTATGGCATACACGGTGTAGTGTTGCAGCGTCTGGTAGATCTGGGACAGCGCGAACAGAATCCCCCGCACAGCATCAACAACGGCGAGGAGGGATTCTGGGATGGCCTTCGAGATGGTAGCGGCTGACAGAGTGGAGAGTCGACGGAAGTATGAGTTGCGCTCAGTATCCATCGAGGGCACTGGCCGGTCGATAGATATTGGAGACGCAGATACAGGCTCGTCAGTGATGGAGTTATGTGGATGATGTGAGAAGCTGACAACAGGTGAGCACGGTGGACATCCATCGCACGTTCGCATAACACGAACCTAGGAAAGTGGTCAGCGGCGTGGGTGGCTGAGCGCTGCGTGCCATTGGGGAGATGCAATCGTGTGGGCCTAAGATCGGGTGCGCTGTTCTTCGCAGAAGGGCTGTACCTCGGCGGTACCTTGTGGACGCCATTACCGTTCACATGAGCATGAGAGGAGGCGATACGAGCATGGCCGGCATGGATCCCGTTCGTCAGAGGATGTTCGTCGATAGGTGAGGTGATGCCGTCAGGCGACAGAGGAGAGGGCGTGGTGCTCTTCGAGGATGCGAGATGGGAGAAGAAAGGATCAAGATGGAGGCGAGGCCCACCCTCAGCAAATTTCCGAGAAGGCCCAGGAGAAGCAGGATCAAGCTGGAAGTATGACGATGTATCCGACTCTAAGGAGTAAGAGCGGGAGTGGTACGCAGAGTCAGATACTGAGGGTGTTCTGTCTCCTCTAGGCGCATCCAAGCTGAAGCTAGAACGTGAGCTCTGAGGGCAAGCGCACAGGAGGTACATTACTCACAAGCTAGACGAATCGTTACCGGGTTCACCTGACATCGAATCGTCACTCTGCTTGCGCTCACCCGGAGTGCCGGCGTTCTCTTGCAGCCACGTCTGTAGATGTCGGACCCATTCAGCCATCTGCTGAGGATCGCTGGTGTCTTTCCCTGGTCCGAGCACGGACGCCGGCGGCCATTCCAAGGGGTTCTGGTCCACCTTCAGCAGGTTCAGTTGGCGGAACTGCACTAGGTAAGCTGGCAGACGGTGCAGCTTGTTCCGCGCGAGTGAGAACACCTAGAGTTAGAGTTATATCAGTTAGCATTAGCACAGACGGCAGCAGGAACAGACAGAAGGTTGGGCAACGTCTGCGTATAGTATAGCACGCGTCACTCTGTCAAGCAGACAGGTGGGTAAATCCCTCGCCGGGGATATCGCACTGCATGGCAAGGCGTCACGTTCGTGGAGTACGTTGACGCTCTCCTGCAGGAACCAACGTACAGAGCCCAGCCAGCCGCTCCAGCTATTGTTGCGTCTGTCTCCTCATGACTCGGCTGAACGCTTGTCACGACACGGACTCCGGTGCCATTGCCGTAAACGACGATGCACGGAACAATAGGTCGAAGAAGGAAAGGTTCGTACCCGCAAGTTAACCAACGAGCCGGGTTCGGAGGGAAGGCGCTTGATCTTGTTACGGCTGATATCCAGGATTTCCAGCGACGGCATGACGGTGAGCTAGAGACAGGCTCAGCCAATACGCGCGCGCAGGAGCGAAGCCGACATACGACGTCAGGAAATACGGTGAAACTGTTGTTCTTCAGCACAAGGTAACGCAGACGTGACAGCAGGGAGAAGGCCATGGGTAGAGTAGTGAGCCGGTTGTGTGCGAGCGCAATACTATACCCCAAATTCAGAACGCGCACGTAGCCAGGACACTAGGACACACACCGAATAACGGGACTCTCCGTTATTGTCTCGTCGTCCTGGCCAACAGTGGCGAGTTCCTCCGCTCCTGACTCTCCGACATCGGTGAGACCCTTGTACGCTAGATCAAGAGTGGCGCCTCCATCCGGTGACTTTGCAAGAGCCTCAGTGATATGGTCGCGAGTCAGCGACAGGGAAGGAAGAGGTGACAGTGAGGCATTCCTCAGCGTTGAGGGGGTCTTGCGTAGGGAATGTTCGCCATCAGAACCAGACATGCAGCAAGC